GGATGTATGCTGATTCCCACCTCTAGTCCCATAGCAGTTTTGCTCCTTTTGGGCTCCTAAGAGGAATTCTGTGTGCAACCCATCTGTTTGTCTACAAAAACACTCACTGGTCCAACAACAGTTTCACCTCTCAAGGTCCCAGTGACTATTTTCTAAGGGCCCTGGCTGCTGTGGGCCCAAGTGGGCACACTTGCTTGGGGCCCGTGTGGGTTTGCCTTGTGCACACAGCCCCACAGTGAGCCCGCACCGGCATGTTTGTTGGGACATTTCACACCAGCCTCATTATTTGAAACTTGAAACCAGTGGAAGTGTAGAGCCCTGCTCTCAGTCTTGCTCCAATCTCAAAACCCCCGCCCGTGAGTTTTCACTACAGTGTTAAACACAAAGGAGCTGTTGGATCATAACTCACACTCAGGGAGGCAGTTCTTCCTCATGGCGAGTCTCTCCGCCTTCTTTCTGGCCTCTGACAGGCTGAAGAGCACTCCGTAAACATACTGACGGATCGGTCGAAACAGTTGCACTGCTGAAGGCAGGTCTTTGTTGGCTTCATCTTCAATGGTGACAGACAGCTTAACCTCTCCCTGCAGAGGCACACTGTTAGATCAACACAGCCACTTCACATTCGACCAACATGCAGAGTTTGTATATGAAATACAACACGTCACAGATAAAAGCAGTCGAGATGACCTTAGTGAGGACGTGGTAGACGTAGGGGTACATCAGGCCCTTCTTGTGTCTGTGCTCGGCAACCCGCAGGACCTCGGGGGCCGCGGCAGGGAGAGGTGGGATGGTAATGTCCATATGGTTCCTGGTGGGCATGGAGAGCAGGGAGGGGATTTGTGCATTCAAGCCTTGGAGATCTCCATCCTGTGACCCCAGGTTCACAGCAGAGGTCCCACACAGGTCAGTCTGAGGACACAAGGGGGTGTGGGGATGTTCAATCAAGTCTATTGTCAGATTCCCCATCAACCAATATGTAGCACTGGTCAAGCTAGACTCACTTTCGCCCCTTCACCTCTCTCTGGTGTGGTGGAAGCGTGAGCAGCACGTCCATGTTTGTGCCGTTCTTCAGTGTGCTTGCTCACGTGACTAGAACAGGAAACAGGTTTGTTGCAGTTACAGGTAAGTGTTCAACAATCAGCCACAAGTCAAATAAACTGGCATTCACGATGACTAGAATCTTTTTGGTACAACATCATACTAAGAAACCTTTGACCCTTTACTTTGTCATGTGCTACCGGCCTACGCATCATTTCCAACAAAGCGTAGCGGCTCTTGATCTTGGAACCAGCCCAAGGAGGAAACCTGAGCTGGTGACAAAGTCATGGCAGTCAAAGGCTCAGTGATATGTGCAAAAGGGAGGCTTATGTGTTCAGATCGCATGAAAAAGCTACTGTGTCAAAAACTTGAAATGTGTCTGTTTACTGCAGTTTGTGGCTATTTAAGCACAGAGCAGACAGAGCACCCAGAGTCCACTGGCAAAAG